TCTCCTGCACCCCCACTCCCTCTCCTGCACCCCCACTCCCTCTCCTCCACCCCCACTCCCTCTCCTCCACCCCCACTCCCTCTCCTCCACCCCCACTCCCTCTCCTCCACCCCCACTCCCTCTCCTGCACCCCCACTCCCTCTCCTGCACCCCCACTCCCTCTCCTCCACCCCCACTCCCTCTCCTGCACCCCCACTCCCTCTCCTGCACCCCACTCCCTCTCCTGCACCCCACTCCCTCTCCTGCACCCCCACTCCCTCTCCTCCACCCCCACCCCCTCTCCTGCACCCCCACTCCCTCTCGTGCACCCCCACTCCCTCTCCTGCACCCCCACTCCCTCTCCTCCACCCCCACCCCCTCTCCTCCACCCCCACCCCCTCTCCTGAACCCCCACTCCCTCTCCTGCACCCCCACTCCCTCTCCTGCACCCCCACTCCCTCTCCAGCACCCCCAATCCCTCTCCTCCACCCCCACCCCCTCTCCTGCACCCCCACTCCCTCTCCTGCACCCCCACTCCCTCTCCTGCACCCCCACTCCCTCTCCTCCACCCCCACTCCCTCTCCTCCACCCCCACTCCCTCTCCTCCACCCCCATTCCCTCTCCTGCACCCCCACTCCCTCTCCTCCACCCCCACCCCCTCTCCTGCACCCCCACCCCCTCTCCTGCACCCTCACTCCCTCTCCTCCACCCCCACTCCCTCTCCTGCACCCCCACTCCCTCTCCTCCACCCCCACTCCCTCTCATCCACTCCCTCTCCTGCACCCCCACTCCCTGACATTACCCCCAGCAGTCCGTGGTCTCCGCTCGCCGACTCGGTAACCCTGCGTGTCTCTGACTGGGTAACCCCGCGTGCCTCTGACTGGGTAACCCCGCGTGCCTCTGACTGGGTAACCCCACGTGTCTCTGACTCGGTAACCCCACGTGCCTCTGACTCGGTAACCCCACGTGCCTCTGACTGGGTAACCCCACGTGCCTCTGACTGGGTAACCCCACGTGCCTCTGACTCGGTAACCCCACGTGTCTCTGACTGGGTAACCCCGCGTGCCTCTGACTGGGTAACCCCGCGTGCCTCCGACTGGGTAACCCCACGTGCCTCTGACTGGGTAACCCCACGTGCCTCTGACTGGGTAACCCCTCGTGTCTCTGACTGGGTAACCCCGCGTGCCTCTGACTGGGTAACCCCGCGTGTCTCTGACTGGGTAACCCCACGTGTCTCTGACTGGGTAACCCCGCAAGCCTCTGACTGGGTAACCCCGCATGCCTCTGACTGGGTAACCCCGCGTGTCTCTGACTCGGTAACCCCGCGTGTCTCTGACTCGGTAACCCCACGTGTCTCTGACTGGGTAACCCCGCGTGTCTCTGACTGGGTAACCCCACGTGTCTCTGACTGGGTAACCCCGCGTGTATCTGACTCGGTAACCCCACGTGTCTCTGACTGGGTAACCCCGCGTGTCTCTGACTGGGTAACCCCTCGTGTCTCTGACTCGGTAACCCCACGTGTCTCTGACTGGGTAACCCCGCGTGTCTCTAACTGGGTAACCCCGCGTGTCTCTGACTCGGTAACCCCACGTGTCTCTGACTGGGTAACCCCGCATGTCTCTGACTGGGTAACCCCGCGTGTCTCTGACTCGGTAACCCCACATGTCTCTGACTGGGTAACCCCACGTGTCTCTGACTGGGTAACCCCACGTGCCTCTGACTGGATAACTCCTCGTGTCTCTGACTAGGTAACCCCACGTGTCTCTGACTGGGTAACCCCGCGTGCCTCTGACTGGGTAACCCCGCGTGTCTCTGACTCGGTAACCCTACGTGCCTCTGACTGGGTAACCCCGCGTGTCTCTGACTGGGTATCCCCACGTGTCTCTGACTGGGTAACCCCGCGTGCCTCTGACTGGGTAACCCCTCGTGTATCTGACTGGGTAACCCCACGTGTATCTGACTGGGTAACCCCGCGTGCCTCTGACTGGGTAACCCCTCGTGTCTCTGACTGGGTAACCCCGCGTGTCTCTGACTGGGTAACCCTACATGTCTCTGACTCGGTAACCCCGCGTGCCTCTGACTGGGTAACCCCACGTGCCTCTGACTGGGTAACCCCACGTGTCTCTGACTGGGTAACCCCGCGTGCCTCTGACTGGGTAACCCCGCGTGTCTCTGACTCAGTAACCCTACGTGCCTCTGACTGGGTAACCCCACGTGCCTCTGACTGGGTAACCCCGCGTGTCTCTGACTCGGTAACCCCACGTCTCTGACTGGGTAACCCCGCGTTTCTCTGACTCGGTAACCCCACGTGTCTCTGACTGGGTAACCCCACGTGTCTCTGACTTGGTAACTCCGCGTGTCTCTGACTCGGTAACCCCACGTGCCTCTGACAGGGTAACCCCACGTGCCTCTGACTGGGTATCCCCACGTGTCTCTGACTCGGTAACCCCAAGTGCCTCTGACAGGGTAACCCCGCGTGCCTCTGACTCGGTAACCCCACGTGCCTCTGACTGGGTATCCCCACGTGTCTCTGACTGGGTAACCCCACGTGCCTCTGACAGGGTAACCCCGCGTGCCTCTGACTCGGTAACCCCACGTGCCTCTGACAGGGTAACCCCGCGTGCCTCTGACTGGGTAACCCCACGTGTCTCTGACTTGGTAACTCCGCGTGTCTCTGACTCGGTAACCCCACGTGCCTCTGACAGGGTAACACCGCGTGCCTCTGACTGGGTAACCCCGCGTGCCTCTGATTCGGTAACCCCACGTGCCTCTGACTGGGTAACCCCACATGCCTCTGACTGGGTAACCCCGCGTGTCTCTGACTCGGTAACCCCACGTGTCTCTGACTGGGTAACCCCACGTGTCTCTGACTTGGTAACTCCGCGTGTCTCTGACTCGGTAACCCCACGTGCCTCTGACAGGGTAACCCCACGTGCCTCTGACTGGGTATCCCCACGTGTCTCTGACTCGGTAACCCCACGTGCCTCTGACAGGGTAACCCCGCGTGCCTCTGACTCGGTAACCCCACGTGCCTCTGACTGGGTATCCCCACGTGTCTCTGACTGGGTAACCCCACGTGCCTCTGACAGGGTAACCCCGCGTGCCTCTGACTCGGTAACCCCACGTGCCTCTGACAGGGTAACCCCGCGTGCCTCTGACTGGGTAACCCCACGTGTCTCTGACTTGGTAACTCCGCGTGTCTCTGACTCGGTAACCCCACGTGCCTCTGACAGGGTAACCCCGCGTGCCTCTGACTGGGTAACCCCGCGTGCCTATGACTCGGTAACCCCACGTGCCTCTGACTGGGTAACCCCACGTGCCTCTGACTGGGTAACCCCGCGTGTCTCTGACTCGGTAACCCCACGTGCCGCTGACTGGGTAACCCCACGTGCCTCTCCCTTCATTCGCCGTCTCAGCAGAGCAAACCGCAGCACACCGCTGACGTGCCGGCTACCGCCCTGCCTCAACACGAGTAGCATCTTTGAGACACCTTTTAACATAATACGAAGATAAAGATTCTCCATATAGCCTTGAATAGACGAGTGGCAAGTGCTGTTGGTGAGCACCTATTAAGGTCAACACGACTCACGAGGGAGTTGGGGTGGCCAGGACAGTACCTCGTTCGCTTTTGTCTCCCCAATGCTGATGTTTACACACTGCATCACCGACTCATTTGAGGCTGAGTCGACCTAGGGGAGGTCCCGGACTGCTCCACTTGACTTGAGAGTGGTAATCAAACTCAAGCCGCCGAGTTTGTAGCGCATTGCGCTAACCATCGTGCCTCCGCTCTCCGTGCGCAAAAAGATCCCCCGCGTATAGGCCTGAACGTAATGTTGCGGCAAGTGCTGTAAGCGAGCAGCACCTATGAAGGCCGGCGCGGTACACGAGGGGGTGGGTGGCCAGCCACACGCCCGCCAAACTTCGCCTCCCCAGTGGCGATGTTTGCACACAGACGCACGCGCGCGCACGCGCACACAGATGCACGCTTTAACGAGGCAGCTGAATCGTACTGGTGTGTCCCTAACGAGTTCGAGGGAAACATGCCTGCGTAAGGAGCACATTAATGCACAACTCCCCTGGGGGGTGGGTGGGTGGGCGGCGGTGGCAGGAGGAAACAAAAATGATGACAAGTCCCACTCAACGGTGCAACGAGCACACAAAAGCCTGGTCGGGTTCACCGCCCGCCCATCGGTGCAAGGGCTGTGTCAGTTTGACGTGGCGTCGTGCGCAGCGAACAAACGCACGTTGGGGAAAAATCAGGAGAGGGCGGCCGATAATTCCTGTGGCAGAGTAGGTGGGGTTCTCAGAGGTGCGTGCGGGTATGTGAATGCGTGGGTGTGTTTTGTGCGGTGTGCGTGGCTGGGTGAGTGAGCGTGGCTGTGTGTAGGTGGGGAGCGGTGGTGTGGCGGTTAGCGCTACGCTGCGCGACGAACCTGGCCACCCGAGTTCGATTCCCACTCACGGCCAACACCAGCGATGATTATCTGAACCGGTCCTGGGCCTCCCCTAGGTCGACTCAGCCTCAAATGAGTACCTGGTGTGATGTGTAAACATCGCCACTGGGGAGATCAAGGCGGCCGGGCGTGGTGTTGGCCACCCACCACCTTGTGTGCCGTGCCGGCCTTTATAGGTGCTTACAGAACTTGCCACTACAGTCTGCTGAGGCTATACGGGGGATCTTTGTCTTTTTGTGGCTGTGTGTATGCGGGGATCAGTAGCGGTTAGCGCGCCGCCTGCTACGAACCCGGCCACCGGGTTTGTTAATTTGGAGAATTAAAGAGACCAGGGTAGTCTCATTTTCAAGGGTGACCTGGCTCACCAAATAAACAAATAACATAAAGAACTGTACAGCAATGAAGCAAATAGAAACTAGAGCAAAGACAACTGTGTCTCATCACAAACACGAAAATGTCGCACAAACATCGTGGTGACGCTCCCCACCTGCACTCCCATGGGCTTCCACCCCAGCCCCCCATCGACCCCCCCCCCCCCCCACCGGCGGCGGCAACGTGCACTCTCACCCTGCTCACGTCGTGGTCCTTGTCCCTCTCCACCTTCACCGTCGCCCCGTGCCTGGCCCGGACCCGCGCCGGCTCCGACGCGGCCTCCGTCTCGGACGCGGCGTCCGTGTCCATCTCCAGCTCGGCCTCCTCGGCCTTCGCCCTGGCGATCGGCTGGGACAGCGGAGGCGGCGGCGGCGGCGGCGGAGGCGGAGGAGGAGGGAGGCCGAGAGGGAGGGGAAGGCGAGCGGCGGCGCCGCAGCGAGCCCTGCGCTGCTCGCTCAGGTTGAGCGGGAGGTCGAGACCGGGCTCGGGGAGAGCGGCGAGGGTCCCCTCGGCCTCGCGGGGGGCCGGCTCCGAGTCGGGGCCGGCCTCGTGCGGCCGCCCGTTGGCGGCGGCGGTGGTGGCAGCGGCCGGGTGCGGAGCGTCGGGCCCGCGCGCCTCCCCGGAGAGGTCCGACGAGAGCGAGTGATCTGTGACGACGAAGACGACGACGGTCAAAATATTCGTTGAGAAATCGTAAGGCGCACGGTTTTCAGTTTCCCCCTTGGAGAGACAGAGATTGAGACGAGCCCGAAGGCAGCTGACAATTGCCAAAGCTCCGCGGTCCTCCATTGGCCAATGACGATGACAGCGAGAGCTCCGTCAACATCAAGGATAACAACAACAACAACATGAGGCGCCGCGCCATTATAGAATTCGCGTAAACGTCGTCAACGATGACAAACGTAAAACCGTCAGCGTCAACAGCAATTGCATCGAGCCAAGTGAAACTGTTCTGTCTTCTCGATTAAATGGGCTTGGGGTAGCACTCGTGTCTATTGGGCGAATGGAAATTCCACTTTCTCATGACAGGTGTTGGTTTTTACAAATGGGAGGACCAAAGTTGACGTCGCACAAATAGGAGGGACGATGGGTTCACGTCAACTTCAGCACAAGAACGAGCACCGATTAATTCCGACACCGGTGAGTCAGCGTCGTCTCTCACAAGACCCCATCACCCAATGCCATCGTTGTCAGCAGCTCGTCGGCAGCACCGTGATCTCCGTCGTGAATACATTTAAAAAACGCTCGCAGCATTTTCAATAACAGCATCAACGTTATCTCGCAGCAGTCGGATCGAATCCCCCGAGATGCCGCCGTGAAAATTGAACAAACCGGCGACCCGTTGCGATAGAGGGGAGCCATCGGGGGAGCGGCGGCGGCGTTCGTTCGTCACAATTAGCCAGATAGTTGCAAAACTTTTCGCTTGAGCACGGCGACGTCCCGAAATGACTTCGAAAATCCTGAGACGCATCGCCGAGTCCTCGTGTTGCAGCCGGGGAGGCAGGTGCGGGGGAGGAGGGGTAGCGTTGCCTCCCGAGCCCGTGCCAGCCTCGTCACGCGCCCCACGGCCGTGCGGGCTGGTGGCGATCGGTCACCGCAGCGGTCAGCGCTCGGGACATTCCTCACCGATACATCCGAATAGAAGGAAGAGGGCTCCCGTGAGGCGCAGCGAGGGGGAGTTGCCAACGCTCCCCTCAGACAATTGCTGAATTAATTTGCCTCATTAGTGGGTTCCAAAGTCGTCACGTCGCATTCACTTTGTCGAAAAACTCCAAAGGGAATGTGACCGCTGACGGAGACACTGTCTCCCGGATGCCGGAGCTTGCAGTTTATGCCGAGGGAGAGAGAGAGAGGGAGGGAGGCGTCACAGAAGAAGGAAGGGAAGAATTGAGGAGGAGGAGTAGGAGGGATGGGAAGGGAAGCGAGCGAGCGATTGCAAAGATAAATGGGGGCTCTTGGAGCACGTATCGGTACCGCCAGCGCAGCATCGTGAAGCGGCCCGGGAGGCGTCGCTTCACGATGCTCCCCTCCCTTCTACCAGTGCGGGGCCAAGTGAGGGCCCACAGTGGGGCCCACAGTGGGGCCCACAGTGGGGCCCACAGTGGGGCCCACAGTGGGGCCCACAGTGGGGCCCAGTACGGGGCCCATCGCAGGCCCACCCCCAAAACTCCCCCGCCCCCGCCCCCCCCCCCCCCCCCCCCCCCCCACTGTGGCGAAACTTTCATCCAGTAGCGGATGTACGTTATAATGATTCTATAAATACAAATCGTATATTGCATTGAGTGCATCGTATGGTGTCGTGACGCTGTGAAAGAGAGCCGCAAAGGCGAGCGGCTGATGAGCCGTGATAAAGTTGGCGGAGGTGAGAGCAGGAGGAGGGCCAAACATCTGGAATTTCTAGTCGTGTGTGCGTTGCCCCCCCCCCAATCAAGCACGCTTATCTGCACTCGCATCAAAGCACCGTCGGTATACATTAGCATCTAGCGACCGCACTATCAGTCTGCTGGCAACAAACAAAAAAAGTGATCGCGATTCAACGCTTATCGTCGTCTAGCATTAAAGCAAATCTGCTGCAGGATTTCACGTGGGATTATGCGAGTCTCTCTGCATTGCTGATTTATTTTCCCATCGCCTGCCTCGGCAGCTCGTAGTGAAATCATAAAGGGGGGGCGGTGTGGATATACACTGTACGCACGAGTCCGCACATTATTCCACAGGCCATCTATTATTTACTCCCGTATATTTGGTGGGGGGGGTGGGGTAGAAATACTTGATCGAACTGCGTACACATCGTCAGAGGCGAGAGAAACATATATTTGCCTCCGCGTCCGCTCGAGAATTTGCTGGCATGAGGTCGCGCCGGCTCGGGGCGCGCTCCTCTCTGCTGCATTGTTTTACGAGCGGAGGAGGCGTCGCGGCTGGCACTGTGGGGGCACTGCGAGCTCACGACTACCAAAGAGAAAAACAACGCTCCGTTTGCAACCTTTCCAGATATTTCACAATTTGCTCAAAGTGCCGCGGTGTAAGGTGCAATCCCTCACCGTAAAGTCGATCTCTCTCTCTCTCTGGCCCCCTCTCTCCGCTCTGAAGAATGGACATTGGCCCGAAATGCCAGCCGACTGTATTATCTGTCATTAGGCTTTGCTCATTCACCGGCCCCCACTGACCAGCATGGTGAAGTATGGCCAAACAATCCACATGGCCGACATGGTGTGAGTAGGGAGCCCTTCATTTAGCAGCGGATTCACAAAGGGGTGTACGTTAATTATTATTTAAAACGCATTTGCCACTCGGCGGATAATTGCCCGGACTCTTGTTCCTGGTAGCCTGGCGGACTCGAGTCCCCGATCCCGAGCCTCACCAGGCCGAGGATACAATCCCACAAAACCCGCGGACTCGGCCGGGGTCACCCGGAGACTCATTAGGGTGGGGGAGCTGTCTCGGAGCGCGCTCGCTCAGGAAGCCAAGCGCGGGAAATCGAGGACGCCTCGACGATGCGATCATTCATCTCACTCGGCTCACAAGCCTCGAGTCAGGGCCAGCTGGAGGAGGAGGAGGTAGCCTCTGCGACTCATTAGGAACAGTAAAGGGGCCGAGTGCATCTCAAAGCTGCTTGAGTCTCTCTGGATTTCCGCCCCCAAGCCTGGCATGCCCCCCCCAACCTACCACACTACCCCCCCCATCCCAACACACAGGCAGGCTGCCGTGTCGATATAAGCTGATAAATACCTTCCACGGTTGTTAATTATCCACAGACACGCAGAGCCCTGACGACAGGAATAACCCACAGCCGCCCATTCCTCCACGGCGCGCGAGAAGGCTCCGCCGATCAGTCGGAGGTGAATGTACGACTCCTGCCGCTTGTCAAACCACCCTGGAGTAGGTCAAAGAAGGCTCCCTGCCTCGGTGGCTGACGCGCCGTTGGGATGGCCTCCGTCCAGCCGCGGACCAACAAAAGGGTTGTAAATATTATAATAAATATTAGTTCAATCTTGGGGGTGGAGGGGGTGACTCGGCCAATCATCATCTCTCCCTCCGGCGTTGACAAAAATAGGTACCACTTTGTTGGGAAGTCGACAGTGGCCGTGCTAAGGATAGACTCGTCCTCGCCATAGGAACGTGGAATTTCCACCACTGCCTCGGGCACCGCCGCGATGCTCATCTGAGCAGCGAATTCACTTTGCACTTTTCAACATCGAGCCAACATTTCGGGTTGGCCGCCGAGTCACCACCTCAACGGCGTCGTCGGCAGCACCTGCGAGCGCACAATGGAGGCCCACATTTGGGCCCACGATGGCACCAGGGCCCTCGAACTCCTCGCGGGATTAACGCTGACGTTAGCGGTGCAACTGCAGACAGATCCTCCCCCCCACCTCTCTCACTGTACCGACATCCAAACGACGCAACGGAGAGGGAATTTAATTTACGACGGAAATATGCGAGCTAATCGGCGCGCCCCATTCTCGCCCGCTTGCCTTTGCTGATCTGGAAGGCAAAGCTGATGGTTTCACGGGAAATGCCTTCCTCTGCCTCCCACAAAAGAATATATATCTCCTGCCACTCATCCAGAAAGTGTTAATGTTGCTCGGCAGGAAAAAAAAGGTGGGCTCGTATTAATGGAGGCTTAAATAGATGAGAGAGAGAGCGAGAGAGAGAGATGTAGAACGTCGCTGCTGAGAGCCACAGACAGCAGCAGGAATTCCACTAGAGAGCGAAACTGGGCACCGGAAAGGAAGGAGATCCATACCTTCCAAGTTAACGCAGGATCCGCATGAGCTTCTTCACTCCAGAGGTCAAGCACACATGCGCAGGAGGGAGCCCGACGATTGGGAATGCTCAATTATCACTTTGCATCGTCGGCGTTGCTCCCCCTACCCTGCTCGCCACGAAAACTGCAGACCGTGCTTCCTTTTATTCCTCCGCAGATTTCTAGCGACTAATACTCACGATGCCGTGACCTCTTCGGTCGCTTCAATGGGTGGCTCCTTTCAAATTTTTCGGAGAGAGAGAGCGACCGAGAAAAAAATAAAAAGCCACCACCACCACCGCACACGCCCGACGCACGCTGCCCGCTGCATACAATTTTAAGGACGGCGCTCCCTGCAATTATCCGCGCTGCATCTGCGAGCCTCCGCACATCACTCGACGAGAAGCGACGTCTGACCGTGATGGACACTCTCTGCTTAGCCCTTGCCTCATATATTTCTCACGTCGGTGCACAGGCAGACATTGCCGGGCCTCCAGGGTAGGGTTTGTGACGAAGTGAAATGTCAGTCACCCACTACCGCCTCCCCCGCTCCTCCTCCAGCAACACTTTCCACCCTCCCCCCGGACTCCCACCCTCCCTCCGAGAGCCCTCCAACTAGCCTCGTGGTGCACTCCCCCTCCCCTCCCTCGCCCCCTCTCTGCCTCCTCTCCGTACTCTGCCCACTCACCCCCCTACGCCCCGCCTCGCTCGCCGGCGTTCCATGCAAATGTGGGGGGGGGGCAGGGTTCGGCTGGGGCTTGGGGGGCAGGGATTAAAGTGGCGGAGGGGTTGAGAGATTGTTGAGGAGTTAAGAGTCATTATCACTAAGTTTCAGCCCCAGGGCTGGGAAGCAGACCTTTCCTTATCAGAAAGCACAAAGCGTTTATTTTATTTTATTATTTCAGATGCTAAGGCCACAGCTGCGTGTGTATGCGTGTGGACGGCAGGCTGGCAGAGATGGTAGCAGCAAAACAAAAGGATGCGTTCTTAAATCTGCATATTTTTTTAAGAATTACTCCCAACCAATTCTACGTTATTTTCTTTTAATTTAAACCAATTTCATGATTTAACTTCGTGAGGATTTGTGTGATGCTCATTGTTTACCGTTAGAAAAAACAAAACTCATTTCTCACGCGACAACCCAGTTGTTTTTTGTTCCGATTGCTATTTGCTCCATTGCTGTACTGTACTTTATTTCGTGTTGTCATTGTGGTGACCCAGGTCATGCTCGCGGATGAGACTCCTCTGCCCTGGCCTCGTGAGTTCTCACCCTGGCCACACAAAATCTAATTGGCTCGACTTCCTGCGTCAATTCAGAACGAGTTAATCTGTCAACGAGTGTGAGGTGTGGCGTCCAAGTGTAACGTCAGTCAATCTCTCCAACCCAGGCTCTCTTTCTGCTCTGAAGAAGGCTCATTTCCCAAAACGTCAACCTCTCGTAATTTTCCGTCACATTGCTAATTCACCATGGTGTCGCGTGGGGGTGGGGGGGTGACCCTCGTCCACAGGTAGAAGGGGCTCTGGGCAGGTGCATGAAAGTAAGTGTCAACGACTAACATCAGTGACTTCCGTTAAGACGTGTTGTGGTTTTAGCTGCCTAACTTTAATAAAACTGAAATGGGGCCAGGGCATTTTCTGAAACCCTTCTGAGACGCCGCGTCTCAAACCCATCAGCTCCAGAGCCATACTCAGGCACCGCTGCCACCACAGCCATTAACCAATACCACACCCATCCACCCCCACCCAATACCACACCCATCCACCACCACCCAATACCACACCCATCCACCACCACCAAATGCCACACCCATCCACCACCACCCAATGCCACACCATCCACCACCACCCCAACCAGCTGCCATCACCAACAACAACAACCACCACCACTGTTACCACCACCATCAATTCAACACCCCACCCACCACTACCACCAACTACCACCAACCACCACCACTACACGAGAGGCCATCCCTGTGTCACTGAGAGCAGCGGTGGTGGTGCTGGTAGTGGTGCCAGTGGTGGTGCTGGTAGTGGTGCTGGTAGTGGTGCCAGTGGTGGTGCCAGTGGTGGTGCCAGTGGTGGCGGCGGTGGTTGGAAGCCGAGACACTGTGGCGGTGCGTGTCCGTGTACCGCCCCTGCCCTAGCCGGCAGTGTCCGCCATGCGACGTTACATCTGCACCGGAGCCACCGTCGCCGTGACCGCCGCGGCTCACGACGATCGTCTGCAGGTGACGACGGTTCAGCCCTCGGGGCCGGGATCGGCGCTCGGCACCGCAAGACGGACGAGGGGGTTGGCCGTAGCCCAAACACTGCGAGGTGTCGATGGGGGGCAGGGGCACGGCACGTTCATTTATGGCAGCGGCTCTTGACGTTCACTGCAGCCTTGTACCCCTTTGGTTCTCAAGCGTAGAGAAAATTATAATAAATATTAATTAACACAGAGGGTTTGATGAAACAAAGTAGTTGTACTTACATGCCCGTGCTTCATTTATGGTTCAACGATTTGCCTTCTTAAAAAAGATCTGGCCACGTCTCGCACCCCCAGGGGGTGCAGCGTGCACCCCCAGGGGGTGCACCGTGCACCCCACGTTAAGAGCCACTGAGTTATGGGCACCGCCACTCCCACTGTAGTTGCGCACACTTGTTTGGCTGTGTCTATGCATGCCTCCATCCAGTAGTGGACTGATGTACGTAGGCAGGACTGTGCCGACATCGTGATCTCCATCCAACAGTAGGCTGACAAAGACGTTGACATTTTATATAATCATTTATGTGAATTCAACCCCCCTGACCCTAACCCTAACAATAATTTACAGATGTTGGGTCAATCCACTGCTGGATGAAGGCCTGCCCACGCAGCTGTCGGCCATGGGCAGGGGAGGTTTTTTTATTTTGGCAGGAGACGAAACCGGGAGGGCCCCCTCCGTGTCCGTGGCTGCGACGACCTCGCTGGGCAGCGTTAAATGTACGCACGGGATGCGCCCCAGCTGTGCGAGCCAACAACAACAACAACAACTTGCACACCGCCGTGTTGAAAAACAACGCGCGACAGCAAATTACGACGACGCAGCAGCGAGGGACCCGTCGGGTCGGTCTCCGTGGGAAATGTCAGCGCCATGGATCGCGGGACAGGCTGCCCCCCCCCCCCCCAGGTCTGCTCTGAGGGGATCGGAGGGGCAAGGCTCACTCACCCCACTGATTGCAGAAGGGCCTCCACTACAGTGGAGCTCGAGAGATGCCCCCTCCACGCTGGCAAGACGTCGTGGAAGAAGTGGGAGTTACCCACACTTTACCCCGCCACACACGACCTGCCGATTGACCAGCTGCGATGAACCCATGCACACTGCTGCTGGGTGGACGGGGGTGGCAAGGGTAGGAAATTAAGAAACTTGCGTTGTTCGTTCAACTGCCTCGCCGGGAGATCAAATCCAACCGGCGGCCTCTGGATAGCAAGTCCAGTGTGCTCAACTTCACCCCACAGCAGCATCCCTAGCGACGGATCGCGAGATCTGGGCCGTTATCATTTTTTGGGTTCTATCCCTGGATCGTCGGTAAAGCCCGGAACGGCGTGGGTCGATTTCACCGCCGCACACTCAGCGGCCATGAAATGCTTCTCGATTTTCTGCAGCAGCCCTCGTCAGGTGTGTCCGCTGCAGACGGCCAAGTCATTTATGAGGCTTTTGTTTTCAACGTTCGCTCCACGCTCATTTGAGATGTGGACCGATCGCGACGCGGGCGGCCGTGAGGCTGAGACGCTGCACTGGACTCGGTTTAGGCGAAGCAATCGCGCTGTCAATGACGCTCCCTCCCCCAGCCACTTCCACCGTGGTGGCCACGAAGCAGCAGCGTCCGTGCGTGCGTCCCACGGACATGGGTCACCGCAACGTACGCGAGATGTGGTGCGTGCCGGAGCGAGAGTTCTATGAACGGCATCTTGTTGACTCATGAGGGCTATCCTGGGATCCTGGTGCGGGTTCATCTCAATTACCAACTGATCAACAAGGCATTAGCAGCCGAAACAAATCACAACGTTGAGGGGTGGTAGGTGCGGATTGCTGCATAACAATGCTTCTCCCCTTGACACGGTTAGGTGGCAAGAGTCGACCGTTTTACTTTGAGTGCAATTGAGCTCTTGAGCCTATCTGTTTAACTTTTGAAGTGGTCGATGGAGAACTGTTCAATTACAAACCGTTTAAAAATATATATACACTTTAACTTCGCAGTATAACGTGCAGTCGATAGCTACGAGTCGATCTTTCTCTGCTCTGAATGAGGGCTATTGCCTGAAACGTTAGGCTGTTATACATTGTAAGGCAATATCAATCGTATGTTACGCACACTCATCATGGTACTGCTTTGTGCGTTTAACGGGATGCCATAGCTTATTTGGAGAGCTCTTGCCAATAACATCTGTTAGTCCAGCAGAATTTGTTTAGCAAGCCTGACCTTGCTGATGAGACCCAGAAGGTCGAGACCACTCCAGAGTTGGCTTGTTCCCATGGGTGCTGCCGGATGGCACCGGTCTTTAAATCCAAGAGGTTGATGGCAAACAAAACATTTTGCTGAATATTGAGATTTTATATTCTCAGTTCGTTGCAAACTCAGGGTTATGACTTCCCCACCTCATGCTAACCGCCGCCCTCTTTAGCGGTGTTTGTCTGCCAACGCATCAACGCCTCTAAAACCGGATTCTCTGGTGTGCATAGTGCGTAAGATGGTCTCAGCTGCGCCAAAACTTAATGAGAAGGGCCTTTATGGGCGAGGCTGCATTGAAACTAAAAAAAACTAAACAATTTTCAGAAGCGTGCTGGCCACAAATTACAGCTCAATGAAGTGGCTTATCACATGGAAATGTATAGCAGCCAAATACTCTAAACGCACGTTCATTCTAAATGCAGAGGGATAAACTGGAGGACCCAGAGAAAAATCCACGTGACTACGGGGAGAGAGAACATGCAAACTCCAAATATACAACAGCCCTCAGGGTCGGGATCGAACCCAGTACCTCCTGCATACCAGGCGAGGGAGTTAACATCTCGCCACCATGACACCCCAAGGCCACCGTGGCATTGCCACGTGGCCCATGGCTGCGATCGGGGCCGGATCAGCATAAGGGTGACTCAAGGTCGCGACGACTTATTTCACCGCAAACTCACGGCTGCCCTCTTTACCAGCGGACCGCTTATAGCAACGCCTCTTGGTCACTGATCCGGTGGCATCATCCTGGGATAAACCAAACGGCGGGGAGGCGGTTTGCGGAGCACTCGGCCGTTCGCGAGGAGACACATTTGGAGTGGATATTGATTTTCCACGGTGTAGCTGCGTAGAGCCCTCGCCTCGATTCATCGAGTGCAGTAAAGTCAGGAGGCACTGACAATATCTTGCTGGACAGGAGGCGCGCAACGATGCATCAGTCCTGCGGACAGAATTGATTCCCACGCGAACCGCGCATGTAAGAATCTACGACTTGTACTGTATTAATGTACGCATGGAGCGTTGGGATCGTGTGAGCTGTGTGCATTCGCTTTCGTGTAAACAAAAACCTCCACGCACTCGCCGATCTAAAACAGGAAGACCTCTCTTCTATGAAGAAGACACCGTTGCCTAAAACATTGCCAGCGGGGCGCAGGGTCGCGGGGGCAGGGTTGAAGGGGCAGGCTCGCGGGGGTAGAGTTGCGGTGGCAGGAGGGGCAGGCTCGCGGGGGCAGGGTCGAAGGGGCAGGGTCGCGGGGGCAGGGTCGCCGGTGCTACCTTCATCGCCGCCCTGACTGCCCCGGGGGCTGCTGCCACCGCCATCGCGCTCGTGGCGCTCCGTCTCGGACGCGGGGGGAGCGGAGGCGCTCATGTCGCGCTGCTCCTCCACGCTGCTCACCGACTCCGACTCCTCATCCTGCCGGGGCGGCGCCACGCAAAGAGACAAAGATCGACCCGTAAAGCCTTGAACAGACCGTTGGGGCAAGGGCCGTTCTCGAGCACATGCGCGTATAACCCACACACACGCGCGTGCGCGCGTTAACGTACGCGTGCGCACAGACGCACACACGGCACGGACGAAGACAACAGCAGCTGATATTCGATGGTGACATCACCACGGCGCTTGTGACAGGATAGGTGCACGTTGAGGCCACGTGATGTGTCGAAGGATCGCTGCCAGGAGGTCACAGGAGAGACCCGGGTGCCATGGGTTAGATGACTCACGGAGACAACGACCTACAGAGACTGTTGTGCCAAGTTCTGTGAGCGAGTAATTATGAAGGTTGGAACGGCAGACGAGGGGGGTGGGTGGCCAGCACCATGTCTCCCCAGTGGCGATGTTTACACTCTGCACCAGGCTACTCATTTGATGCTGAGTCGATCTAGAGGAGGCCCAGGACCGGTTCAGATATTCGTCACCGGTATTGGCCATGAGCGGGAATCGAACTTGCGTCAGTTTGCTAACAGCTGCACCGCCGCTCCCCACACACACACTCACACACGTGTGCACTCACGCACACGCACACTCACACACGTGTGCACTCACGTACACACACACTCACACACGTGTGCACTCACGTACACACACACTCACACACGTGTGCACTCACGCACACGCACACACACGCCGCTCTCCAGACAGCCCGGGAGGGCGCCGCAAACTCGACACCGGGCGACCTTTGGGCTCCTGGAGGTGGAGGATTCGGGGAAGTGCGGAGAGCGGGGAGCTGGAGGTTGGTTGGTGGGGAGTGCGGTGGTGAGATAGTGGACGGAGGAGGGGGTGAGAGGAGGGGGAGAGGGGCAGCTGAGATGGAAGTGGGGGGGTTAGAGATTAGTTTGCACCTACGTGTGCACAGTTTAGGCTTTCACTCCGCGGTGGCAGCGCGTGCGCGCGCGCGCGGTGCAAAACGAGCCGGCCTGGTTTTTCCAGTGCAGCCGAGTCAGGTGAGGTCAGGTGTTCGGTTGGAAAGCCTCAATTATTCAGCCGCACAAGCACACACACTGCCAGGTGTACGCCGCACGCGTGGGTCCTCTCTCTGGGTAGCCCGGGCTGACAACACTCAAGCAGCCTTCACACACCACGCACTCCCCATCATTAATAGCACTGTCGTCATCAGCAGCAGCAGCAGTCGCCATACAGCCACTGCTGGATGAGGGAGCGGATGAGCGAGTGGTGGGCCGTACAGGTTGCCAGCTGACCCGGCACAGTTTCGGGGAATTTCCATCTGTGCTCCCGGTGGCACGGATTGATTTGGACCGAGGTCTGTTTGACCCGATTGTGCCTCGTTGGGTCCACTTTGCTCCCCCACACCCCCCCCCCCCCCCCATTATATGGAAGGCCCGCGTAACTGCGGCTTATTCCACAATTATGAGCGCCCTGAGTGGACGTGTCATCCGCTGCTTTGGGGGTGGAGGGAGAGTAACGAGAGGAGACGGCGACACTCACGGGCACCTTCGCTCGCTGCTTCTCACGAACTGCGACGAACGCGGCGATGTGAGAAAGGTTACAAAGAGAACTTAAAGAGATGCTGCAAATCCTCGCGACGTCTTCCAAGCATGTGGTGATGCACGCGCGCCTGTGTGTTTGTGTGTGCGTCTTTGTGTGTCTTGGGTGTTTTGTTATCAGCAGAGTGGTGGTGCAGTGGTTAGCGCACTGCCCTATGAACCATGGGCCCCCTCCCCCCCCCCCCCCGAGTTTGATTCCGGCTCATGGCAAACTATCAGTTGCCACTATCCGAACCGGTTCTGAGCCTTTCCTGGGTCGACTCAGCCTTAAATGAGCACCTGTTTTTTACATGTGAAGTACTCTCGAAGACGCTTGGACACCGTAGTAAGGCACACGTATTTATTTACACAATGTCGTACAGCACTGGAGGGATGTATCGGCCCCCTCACCCGTATAACTGGGAATTCACCTCTAGCTAGCCTTCCTAGCCGAGTCCTCCACTAACGGGCTAGGGGAGGCTGTCTGGCCCGACACTGGTCAGTCGGGCTACGGTACCCGGAATCCCAGAGGACTAACTCTGGTTCCGGGACCACGCCACTGGCTCCAGCCTGCGCTGCCCTTACAAGGGCGGCGTCCCAGGGGGAGTCCAGGGCCTACCTGGCCGGTCTTCCGTCTTCCTTTAACTACTCTAAGACTCCACCCCGAGCTCTCTGGCTCATCCCTTTTTATACCCCCCTAGAGGATCGAAACCCCCCTCACGCCGTCCAGTGCGGACGTCGTTGCGGGCACCACCCCGTGTGCTCACGGAGTCCCCGCCCACTGTGTTTGTTATCCGTTAGCTCCTATGCAAACAGCCCTACACAAACAGCCCCTCTGTAACAGCCCTACATCACCCCCCCCTGTACAGCTCGCAGCCGTCCCGGCTGCAACAACTTCAATAAAGGTTAATTAACCCCTGGATCCCCGCGTGTGCCTTAAAAAAACGTTTTTTTTTTTACGATAACATGAAGGGAACAACAGCAACAACAACAACAACGACAACAACAAAACTCACAACCCCGAAGGAAACAATCCGACGCACCCCCCCTGAATAAATACGAATACCGTAAGATCGACGTATATACAGGTTTAGCAGGGAACCCCTAGCACACATGCAACACAACAAAAATGTGGTAGGAGCTCCCCACCGACGCAGCACCCCGCAACCGTACACAAGAGAATTAAGTGTTCCTCCAATGCATCATAAGAGTCTGCGCATTTTTGCGCGTGTCCTTGCTGCTGGCCCGTCACACGGGGCAACCCCGGGTGGCGAACCGGCCGGTGGCAGTTGTTCATTCTGTATTGAGTCCGCGTTTGACGTCGCGAGACCCTCGGCATCCCTCGCAGCGGTAGGTGAGTGCGAGCTCGTCAATCCCGGTGCACCTGTGGGCGGGACAGCCGGTGACACGTCAGGCGAGGGCAGTAAGGACGGACCCTTTGAGTCGGCCGACCCCCCACATGTTTGGCCATGCGTGTGTGGAGTGGGGCCTCGCACCGCAACGAATGGTTTTAGTCTCGAGGGGTGCACAAACCACCGGCGCCTCCCCCATTTGATGCGAACACACTGAGGCCGCAGAACCTCGACCACCTCTACAGGACCCCTCCACGGCCGCGCCAGTTTAGGGGATGTTGCGAGCGGTACCTGGGGGCAGTGCAGCCATGCCCTGTCCCCCGGCTTCCACTGCAGCACGTGCGCGCGACCCAGTCTGAGGCGCTCGTTTGCTTTTTGACGCTGTTCTGAATTTAGCATGGCAGCATCCCGTGCCTCAGCCAATTTTTCCAGGTTGAATTTGACATGGTCAATTAATTTAGTTTTACTCAGTGGTGTGGGGATCTGCAGCTGCGCCCGAATGGGTGGGTCAGGGTCGCGCCCATACATGAGGAAGAATGGTGAAAATCCCGTTGCAGCATGGGGGGCCAATCTGTATGCTGCCAAGACCCCTTGGATTTTCAAGTCCCAATCAGTCTGTGAGTCCGAAACCTGCTGTGATAACATAGACGAGATGGTGCGATGCAGACGCTCGACCATCCCGTCAGTTTGCGGGTGATAGGGGGAAGTACGAATCTTTTTCGTTCCTAGGAGCTCACAAACCTGTTGGAGGAGTTTTCCGGAAAAATTTCTACCCTGGTCGGTCAGCAGCCGCTCCGGGGCACCTTTGTCCATGACATAGCCTTGAACAAAGGCGTCGACGATGGCCGCTGCCGACTGATTGGCCAGGGGCCAGGCCATAGGCCAGCGCGTAAAATACTCGACCCCGGTTAACAAGTATCTATTTCCCCTAGGGGTGGCGGGGAATGGGCCCAGAATATCCAGCGCGACAAGTTCGTTTACCCTGGAGACCCTGATAGACTGCAAGGGCGGGTTTGATTCTCGTGCTGGTGGTTTTCGCTGTGCACACCGCGGGCATGAAGCCAACAGATCAGAGACATCCCTTGTCATGCCTTGCCAAAAGAAATCACGCTGGAGCAAGGCGAGGGTCTTCTGGGTACCCAGGTGGAGGAGGCGCTCATGAGCAGCCCACACCACCTTACCCCGTAAGCCCGAAGGGACCACCAGCCGGTGTCGGTGGGATTTTCCGTCCCAGTGCAACAGCAACCCCGCGTGCATTTCCCATGCGTCGGCATCACCCGATCCCCGCCCTGCCTCCCCGGCGCGACGACGCAACGCGAGGAGGGAGGTATCCTCCATCTGGAGGCGCCCCCATTCCTGAATGTGCAAACCCAGCAGGGAATCTTTCCCTTGTTGTTCGATAGAATTCTGAACAACTGTCCCGCCGTCGGCGGCGGCCGCAAGGCCCGAAACCGACACGTCCCCTGCTGGTTTGCAACGTCCCGACCCCAGGAGGCACGCGCATTCCGAGGTGGTTGGCATGCGCGACAGAGCGTCCGCGTTGGTGTGGCGGACGCCCTTACGGTATGTGGTATCAAAATCAAAATCCTGGAGGATCTCCAACCATCGGGACAATTGTCCCGATGGCTGTTGAACTCGCAGGGCGTACTGCAGTGCCGCATGATCTGTGCGGACGGTGAAACGCCGACCGTACAGATATGGGCGATACTGTTGGATGAAATAAACAATTGCCAACAGTTCTCTGCGGGTAACACAATATCTTTGCTCTGCTTGAGACAACACCCGACTGCCGTACGCAACCACCCGTTCGACGCCGTCAACCACCTGGGAAAGCACGCCCCCAATACCCGTGTTGCTCGCATCGGTGTCGAGCAGGAACGGCTTTGAAAAATCGGGGTAGATCAAGGGAGGAGCTTTTACCAAGGCGTCCCGAAGGGAGCAAAAAGCAGCCTCCTCCTCTTGACCCCAGTGGAACCGAACCCCCTTTGATGTTAATGCGTGTAGGGGTTTGGCAATTGTTGCAAAGTCGGCGACGAACCGTCTGTAATATGACGCGAAGCCGACGAAACTCCTGACCTCT